CAACATAACTTTTCCACCACTAAAGGAATAAGCCCACCTCAATAGAATAAAAAAAAAAAAAAAAACCTTGCAACCACCATCATTCATTGCCTTTAGTTGCTATCACCATATCCAAACGGTCCTTTTCAACTGAGCCTTCCACAAAAACGAAAAAATTAACACCCAAGCTACCATCAATAAGTCACCCATTTGGCCACATCATTTCATGATCAATAGGGCAACCAAAAAACACCACACCCATTTAACTAGTCACCAAACTCGAAACCAACCCACCAAAAAAAAAAAAGGTAAAACAAAAACAAAATAAATCACAATCCTCATGTGAGGAACCTAACACCACAAAAAGGGAAAAAATGATAATTGTAAGAAAAAAAAGAAAAATCCATTAGAGTTGGTGAAATGAAAGGCGACAATGGGAGGTTTTTCAATTTACATGGCTTCTACATGGTTTTAGATCTTGAAATTTGGTAAAAAAAAAGGCCAAAGGAAGATGAAGGACATAGTAAAAATTTAAAGCCAATGGAGTGACAGAAGTGGGTGGTTTAGAACTCTAAAACCTTTGGGTGCAGATCTAGGTTGTTCTAGAAAGATTTTAGGAAAAACAAGTTAATAAATAGAAAGATGATGAGAAAAGCTTTACTTGGGTGATTTTTGGGAAACAAACTGGTGTCAGTTAATGGTGGCCATCGATGAGGTACAACAATCGGTGTAACAGGTTAGTACCAGAATCTAGGTTTTGGAGTTTAAATGTCTGATTACTTTTAGAACTTTGGGATTTTTTAAAAAAAAAATAGGTAAAAGTAAAGCTTAAAAAGGTAGCTTTTATAGCATTAAAAAAACTTATCAACTAACCCACGCATTGGCCTAGACTTGACTTGGGGTTTGCGTGCCTAACCTGGTCTAAGGAGATACTGCCAGACTCAAATCGATCCAATTAAACTTGTTCAGGATTGGCCAAAATGATTAGATCGTCAGTGAACCATCCGTTTCCCTTTCAAATTGACATTAGTTCATTCGAACTAAATCAGATCCCAACAAACCGCTCTCAGACCAGCCAATTTAGGTAATTTTTACATTTTCAATTTATTTATGTTTATTTGTTTATTTATTTACTATTATTATTATTATTATTATTATTTTATTTATTTTCTTTACACATATTTTAATATTGAAATTTCTAAAAAAAAATGTATATTATCTCTTTAAAATATAATGAAAATAATGAAAATAATTTCTAGACTTTTGGTAATTTTAAATTAAAAAAAAGTAATAAAAAATAAAAAAATGATAAAAATAGTAAAAAATAGAAAATGAGGGAAAGAAAATTTTAAATTTGATGATGAAATTATAAAGTGATCCAAGTAGCGATGTCAAAAAAATCTTTAGGTGAGAAGATTTTTTTAAAAAACTGCTAATGTATTAGAGTAATTATAAAAATCTTCAAAATAATAAAAAGCTCCATTTTCTTTTGAAAGAAAAAATAATACTAAAAATAAAAAAGAAAAAAAAGATATTAATAAACACATTTTTATAAAAAAAAAAAAAGAGATGATGAAAATGAATTTTTACCTGATGATAAGATTCTAAGATTGTCCAAATAGTGAGGACTAAGAAATCTCTAGATAAAAATTTTTTTTAAATATTGTTAATGAATTGGAGTATTTTTAAAATTTTTTAATATAATAAAAAAATTTTTCTTCAAATAAAAAAAAGTGATAAAAAACCAATAAATAAAAAAAATAGAATTATTAATTAAAAGAGGGAAATGAAATATGGGCATTAATATTTTGTCAATTGCATTGCATGCACATAATTCTTGAAAAATAAACATGAGCCTCTGAAAATAAGATTCTAAAATAATCTAAGTAACAATACATAAGTAATCCCTAGATGAAAAAAATTCTTTCAATATTACTAATGTATCGAGACATTTTAATGTATAAGGACATTTTAAGAGTTCTTTTAATAACAAAAGTTTAGTTCATTTTTTTCGAATAAAATAGAATAACAAAAAATAATAATAAAAAAAGAAAAAAATTAGTTCAAATAAAATAAATTAAGAAAATTATTGATAAATATCAAGTTTAAGACCAGTTTCGTTAAAATTTGAAAGATAAAACATAATTAATTGGTACCATTTTAAATTGTTACTATGAAGTACTAATATTTTCCTACACATATTTGACTTTCAGACTCATACTAGTTTCTTAAACCCCAAAAATTATATTTTTAATAAATTTTAAGATTTTATTAAAAAGATAAGGTTTAATAAATTGTCAATCATACCTAATAAAAAAAGATTGATTACAAATTTTTTTTATTTTTAAAATTCAATCTTAAAACCATTATGACAAATATCATATCATGATTTCTTAACTTTTTTAGTTAAGTTGGAACCTAAATTACCTAGGAATAATAAGACAATTCAAAAACTACTCAAGGTAAACACTACCAATGCCTGAATGAAAATATATAAGGGAGAGAGATTATGAAATTGTTGTATTAGTAAATTACTAATGTAAAGTTTCTTTTAATTACTAACGTAAATTACATATATATATATATGTATTGGATGAGTAGGGTGCCCTCACTTAGTGTCAAATTAAAAGAAACTTTACATTAGTAATTTACTAATACAACAATTTCATAATCTCTCTCCCTTATATATTTTCATTATATATATATATATATATATAGAGAGAGAGAGAGAGAGAGAAGGGAATGTGACTCTGCCTGTTTAATGACCAACATTCTCAAATAAAAGCTAAACGATGAAAATGACCCCAGGTGAAAGTTAATGAGAGATTCATTGGTTTTTCCTTTTGGTATTCAAATTTTGGGTTTATATATTAATTAAAACCTTTTATTGAATTTGTGTCGCAAATCAAATGATATTAATTCAATAAAAAATATTTATCGTATCAACAGCTACATAATTTGTTAATAAAATATTAGATTTTTAATTAAAATTTAAATAATGAAAATCTCAAATATTTAACAAAAAATAAATAAAATTATTACAAGAAATATAAAGTTATGGATGTGTATGTCTTTTTATTTTTTTAACCAATAACCACTCAAATTAAAAACTACCCATCACTTTTTTTCCCATTTAAAAAATTTTTTCAACGGCATAGTGAGTGTGTCCAATTTTATTATATATATTAGTCCTTTTTATAAAAGGAGAATTCATGTTTCTCTTTTAAATGTCAAGTGTCATTGTGAGCGGTGCTACTGTCACTCTAATGCTAGCGTAGCATTTGAGTCATTTTCATTACGGAAGTCTCTAATTGATAATTTATATACTGAAAATTAAGACTGATTTACAAAGCCCCGCGTCTCCATCTGTATTGTTTATCAAAATTTTGGTTTAGAGATTTGGGTATAGGATAAGGAGAAATCAAAGTTCAAAATCTTATAGGAATAAACATAATTTTTTCTTATTTTATATTTATTTTATTAAATTATAACAAATTGTAATATACATTGACAATGAAATTTTTTTTAACAATTTTATAAGTGAAATTAATAAAATAATATATATTTTTAATAAATATTTTTAAAAATAAAAAATTACTTAAAATAATATAACATATATCACTTTATTAAAACCGCTTACAAATAATTTTGTTTATATTATATCATTATCTCAAATTTTAATGCAAATCCAACTTTTATGAATGAATTAAATGTCTCATGTTATCATTTATGGATCTATAGAAGATATAAAAGGACTAGTATGCTTCTCTTATATTAGTAATTTCATAAAAACAAAAAGCTGGTTATGTTGATAACATAAATAATATAATATAAATAAATCATGAAATAAATAAAACATGAGATGAAGTAAACACATGGCATGAATTAAGACATAACATAAATAAATTGCATAAATGACATAGTAAATAAGATAAATATCACAATAACATTTTCATCGGCACATATAATTAGCCTAGGAAGCTAGAGTTAGAGTAATTTTTTTGTGTATTTTTGTTTTCTATTTTTATTTTTTATTAAATTCATATTATTATATCTAAATGTTTATTATTTGTGTTATATATGATTAGAAGTAAAATATAAAGATTATAATTTTCAAAGAACTGACCAATAAAATTTCGTAAAGAGAGCCAATATTATTCTGTCACTTCAATTTAAAATTAAGTTGAAGTGAATTTCGTTTTTTGTTATTTCTTAATTGCTTCACCATTTTTTTGGATGTATTTATAAATTAGTATTTTCTAATTAATTAATACTATTCGGTACAACTCACGTATAGTGGAAACTAGTATATAATAAAAGCTAGTAAATTTAAATATATTATTCAAAAAATGAATATGAAAAATACATATACAAATTTGTAAACATCCATCTATCTTAGGATAGTAAAATTAGAAACATACATTTATTTATCTTATTAAAATGTATGAATAGAATTTCACATTAATTTTTAGGGTATTTTATGAATATAACATGATTGCCATTATCCAAAAAATATTAAATTTAAAGTATAATTTAGTAAATTCATATAATTATTATTAAAATTTTAAATTTTAATATTTATATTTTTATCGTAAAATTATGGTCCCTTTTGTACTTCATCCAAAGTACAAATTTTTTTAGTTGACACTGTCGAACTTATCCCAAGTCTTGCATGAAGTTAACAATTCAATTTTATAAAATTAAAATTTTTTTAATTAATTTTTGAGTTGAATTGGATTTAAATTTTTTAAGTTAAAATCAAATTTTAGATAAATTCATCTTAACTTGTTTGATATATATAAATTTTTTATTATTTATTTAATTTTATATTTATATTTAAAAATATTATTTTATATTAAAAATATTTTATTAATTTTAAATCAAATAAATTAATTATTATTATATATAAATTAAATCAAATTTAAATATAAAAATAATATTTTAATTTCAAATCAAATCGAATTTAAATATTTAAAATATAAAATTAAATCAAATGAGCAAAAACTAACTCAACCCCCATTGTTGCCGTCTGTAGTTCTACCTATATGTCTGTAATGGTAGATGCAAATTGCGATAAGCCGTGGTCAGCACGTGCCTTGCAAACTACTAAGCAGCGCGTAGGCGCCTGTCAGTTTGTCACGAATTGGATATCGGTAAGAGCAGTGGATGGCAGTGGGCAGGGGATGATCTTCGTCTCCCTCGCCTCCAAACCACAAAAAAAAGAAAAAACAAACAACACCAACCACAACAACAAAATCTCTTTCTTTGAGGGAAAGCCATTAATCATCAATCCGAAGGCCTCTCAACCAAATTATATGCATGTTCATCCTTCTTTCTCTCTTGATTTTGTGTAATGACAATGAAAATATTCCTAGAAATTAGAATCATCACTTTGTTCTTTTTACTGATCAACGATTAAGGAACTGAATTAGGCTTTTTCTTTAATATTTCTATTTTTGTCTAGACTTCTTTTTCTATTGGGTTTATGGCGACTTTACTCAACTCAATATCTTCTATGACCAACCCATCACCTGAAACAACAAGGAAACCATATGGTTTCTTTTACCATATCCCAAACCTTCATTCTTTTTCACTCAAAAAGGGTTTTAACAGGGTTTTTGCAACTACCCAGATCACAATTTCCCCTAAAGACTCTGTTTTTACTTTACCAAATTGGAAGACAGGGAAAAATGACACTAAAAGTAGGGAACTTAGGCTTAAAGATGCTTTTTTTCACATGGAATATATGGTGGGGAAGGGACAGAAGCCTGATGCATCTCAAGCTACACAGCTGTTGTATGATTTGTGCAAGGCTAATAAGATGAAAAAGTCAATTAGGGTGATGGAGATGATGGTTGATTCTGGTATTATACCCGATGCAGCTTCTTATACTTTCTTGGTCAATTATTTATGTAAGGGAGGAAATGTTGGACATGCAATGCAGTTAGTGGGAAAGATGGAGGCTCACGGTTATCCAACTAGTATTGTTACTTATAATTCTGTACTTAGAGGGCTTTATATGCATGGAAACTTGAAGCAAAGCTTGCAATCGTTGGATAAGTTAATACAAAGAGGACTAGTTCCCAATGAACGTACTTACTCTTTCTTGCTTGAAGCTGCTTGTAAGGAAAAAGGAGTAAATGAGGCAATGAAGCTTTTGGATGAGATTATTGCCAAAGGTGGGAAGCATAATTTGGTTAGTTACAATGTTTTGTTGACTGGGTTGTGCAAGGAAGGGAGGACTGATGAGGCGATCAGGTTTTTCAGGGATTTGCCTGCTAAAGGATTTGATCCAAATGTTGTTAGCTGTAACATTGTGCTAAGGAATTTGTGCTATGAGGGACGGTGGAATGAAGCAAATGAGCTTTTAGCAGAGATGGATGGTGAGGATCTTTCTCCTTCTATAGTTACTTACCATATATTGATTGGTTCTCTTGCCATCCATGGCAGGACTGACCATGCTTTGGTTGTTTTAGAAAAAATGATTAGAGAACGTTTTGAGGTCAGTGCCGTAAGCTATAACCCAATAATTGCTCGTCTCTGCCTAGAGGGGAAGGTGGATCATGCGGTTAAGTGTCTAAACCAGATGATCTATAAACGTTGTAAACCTGATGAAGGAACATATAATGCTATTGCTGTTCTCTGTCAGCAGGGAATGGTGCAAGAGGCATTCTCCATAATCCTAAGCTTGGGCGCAAACAAAATTCCTCTCTACATCATTTCTACAAGAGTGTGATTTCTAGCTTATGCAGAAAAGGAAACACATATCCAGCATTTCAGCTTTTATATGAAATGACCAAGTCTGGATTCACTCCCCACTCTTACACCTATTCATCACTAATCAGTGGATTGTGCTTGGAGGGAATGTTGCAAGGGGCAATGGAAATTCTCGTAGTAATGGAAGAAAGCTACTATATGCCTGATGTTGACAATTTTAATGCACTTATCTTAGGATTCTGCAAATCCCAGAGAACTGATCTGGCCTTGAAGGTTTTCGAAATGATGATAGAGAAGGCTATATGCCTAGTGAGACAACTTATACTATTCTCGTGGAAGGTATTGCTCATGAAGGAAAAAAGAGCTAGCCGCTGAAGTATTGAAGGAGTTGCATGTGAGAGAAGTTGTAAGTCAACATACTGTAGAAAGACTTGTTATGCAATACAACCTTTCTGCTATAGATAACTTCTGATTTTTAGGGTGCCAAAATATAGAGAGGAAAATGGAAGAAACTGAAAGATTATCATTCTGTGACTTTATGCAAAATTGGTTCTGACTGTTTAGATCTTTGACAGTGTCAAAACATGAATTTTGTAATGAACCAAGGAAAAAATAGCTTGAGGTCAAATGGCACTGTATCCAAATTTGGAAGGTGGAGGGAAGATGAATCAAGTTCAAGCACAAGGACTCAACTTTGTGGTACTTTATTTGCTTGAGCTGGTTAAAGGGTCGTTGTAAATTCTGTACTTGTAGAGCATTTCTTAGTCATGTACAAGTTGATTATTATGGTTGATATGAGATGATTAATTTTACTCCCCTTTTAAAGCAGGCATCTAATAAAAGAATCATTTGGCACTTGCTTACTATAAATTATCATAATCCTTTCTAGGATTCACAAATCAGTATGTAAAAATTCTTACACGGATTCCATCCTCAGTTGGAAGTGAACTGCAGAGGTCTGACTTCCATTGGAGTTAGCTTCTTCTTACAGATGCTTTTTTATTATTTACTGAATTTATATGGTTTCATTCGTCCTTTTCTTAAAAGAAAAGAAGTATGTTTCAGAGAACCGAATAACTTTTTTAATCCAAACTAGGTTGTTGTTCATATACATGTCGTAAGTCAGGGCAAAGATCCGTCAACGATGCAGGAATAGGTAATTCAGATTGATTATTCAAATCTATTGCAAGTCAGGGTAGGATATGTCATTTCGTATAGGAATAGGACATTCCAGATTAATGGCAATGGAAATACACAAGTCCAACTAAGACCAGTTACTCTCGGTATTGTTGCAAATTGGGCCTGGAAGGACTTTGTATTAAGAGCAGTTATGATACAAATATTCGAAACAAAGAAAACATTTTTTTTTTTGTGATACAAGATGACAATTGTGTCAATCATAGCTTTACAAGGGCCGAAAGGCTGGAAGCAGAGTAACACATACTTTAATTTTGCTGCAAAAATTTTAGCATCCATGTTTGTTGTTGATAAATCCAGTCACTTATAAACCTTCACTTCTCTAAAGAACATAAGTTGGAAACAAACCTTTGGAAAATAAGGCAGCCTTAAAAATCACTTTCATTTTATAAATCACAAACCACAAGCCAATCAAGATTTTTCGTCTCAAATCATAGAACCACACACAAACAGTTTGCATCATTTTAAAATCGAATAAACCCCAAATGCTTGAGAATATATGGCAACCATTTATCTCGCATGTTAGACCAGAGTAACACGGCCAAATATTAGACAAAGGCCACTATGTTTTCAATTTCAAACTTCGGGAAGCATGTCAAACATGACAGACTGATAGTCTACACAGCTTAAACCACAAAATCCCAACATAATATCTAGTAGTACTAGGCAACTTCTCAAACATTCTTAAAACTTAACCTAGGATTAGAAGACCGGAACAGATAAGCCTGCCAAAATATACATCCTCTAATCCTCATAACTTCATGCAATATATGCTGTATGATTATGAAGACAAGGGAATGTCAGGGTAAAGCCTATCTTGCGCAAGATGCGCCTACTTTGATCTCTGCCTCATCTTTCGGCGCTTCCTCTTTAGCCTCCTCATGCGCTTCTTCTTCCACTGAAAAGCACGAGAAAAAACCAAATTACTCATAATATAGAAAATTAAGTCTAATCAAAGACAAATAAGATGATTAACTTTTTTATTCAAAAGCCTCATACAGTAGATTATTCTATGAACTGTTACCATATCATTCTATACCATATAACCCTGAAATTAATATGGGCAAGCTAGAGTCTCTCAATTTAAGCCATATTAGACTCCACTGCAAACTATAGTGCATAACTCATTTGTGTCTGTTAACAATAACAGGAAAACAACAGTGTATACCCTTAATCAACCCTTTCATTCATGCGAATTAAACACAGTTTCCACTGAATCACCGGAAAAAAGTTGCAATTAACGTTTATGGGAGGAATTTCTTCAGGGAATTTAGCTTGAAATCGCCTATTATAGTACAATCATGTGCCCCCCCCAAGATGGCACCAAACCCAAAGCTAAAAAAACAATGAAAACACAACTCTAGGCTAACAAATTAATCTTCCTCATTACATTTCATCAGTCATTTTGCATACTTATATCCAAGAAAATCAGCTACAAAAGCAACCAAAATAGAACTAACTTGCCAAATCAATGACGATATCAACAATCCGTGTTAAGACAGAGTTCACCTTAGCTGAAGGTTTCTAGTAGCTTTCCTCATTTTTCATGTCTCAGACCAATAATCTCTCAACTTCACCCATTAATTTTTCATTTTTTAATTTTTTCCACCTCATTGATTATAATCACTTAAGTAGAAAATCTTAGATAAAGCTGTAAAAGAAAGTTATAAAGAAATTGGATTAACCAATTATAATCAAACAATCATTCATTACACCCAAAATTACAAATATTCTCTTTCGGTACCACGTTTTTGCATCAAGCAAACAGATCATAAATCGATAATAAAACCCTAAAATTCTACGAAATACATTACAATAAATTAAGGAGGCAAAAATCAAAGGAGTAAAAACAAATTAATTTCAAAACGCAAAAGAAAAAAGTAATAAATTTATTTATTTGGATAAACAAAAAATTCATGAAAGATCAAGATTAATCGAGGATTTAGAGAAACTTACCTTGGCTCTCATCTTGAGGTTAGGGCTTTGTTTTTCGATTCACCTACTATCCCTGTAGAGATGAGACGTTTCCCTTAAGAATTCTAACGGGGGCTTCGTTTGGTATTTAAAGGCTTACGGTTTGGAAACCCTAATTCGTGTGGGTATTGAGGCAACTATAGGTGTTTACGGGTTGGAGTTACTTGCTTAGACCCGCTAATTCCGCCTGATTTTAATTGGACTTCCACATAATTTTTTAAGTTTAAATTTGATATTTTATTGATAAATTAGATTGTGAGCGATATGATTTACGGAATAATTTTATTTATTTAATATATAAATTAATTTTTTAAAATTATATTTAAAATTTAAAAATTTATAACACATAAAATTTATATGTTTGATTAACTTATCATAAAAAAATAAAATTTTTTAAAAGAAAGTGAAAAAAATTATATTTTTCAATGTTCATCATTATATATCACATATATTTATAGTTATAATTATCCAAATTTAAAAATAAAGAGAGAATTTACAGTCATGTTAGATGATTTTAAAATGGTAAGAATAAAACAGCAACTCTAACTCTAACCTAAAAAAAAAATTAAAATTAAAATTAAAAAATTAAATATCTTAGATATTTTTAGCATTATTTTAATTATTTTTCCATCATTATTCAAATCATGCTTTTTTGGAGCATCTAGCAAGTAGCAAGTGATCTACCTATCCCTAATATTAAAATAAATCTATTTAGTTTATTTTATTATTTGTTTGCATATCATAATAAAAAGACATTACCATAAGTATGTTATAAACATTCTTACAATTATTGAAAAAAAAAAGTTAAAGTTAAAGTTGAACCGAGCGGATTGAATGAAAAGTGAAAGATAAAAATAAAAAGCTTACGTACAATACCTATAAAATATAAGAATAAAATTTACTATAATTTTATACTTTATAATATATAAAAAAATCAAAATTAAAGACAGTTGATCTATCTTAAACACCTACAAAAGAAAAATATTTATATAACTTACACTTTATAATACATGACAAAAAGAAAGTGCAAATAAAGCTGGAGAACTAAACATCAAATAAAATTTATGTAAAAGAATGACTTATTTTTAAAAGATATATGTTATATAAATTATAAAGAGATTAAATTTTATTTTTTTTAATAATAAAAGATTATTTTTAAATCTATTAAGATAAAACTAAATTTTATATTTTCAAATTTAAAAAGATAGATATCTAAATTATTAAAAAGATTAATTGTAAAAGATAAAAAATATATATATATTTAAATTATATATATCTAAATTATTAGAAAATTAATTTTGAATACTAATAATTTGTATACTTTTTATTTATTTGATAAATACCATAAAAATATTAGTAAATTAATTTAGAAGATAAAAAGATATATATAGTAAATTATATATTTAAATTATTAAAAAAATTAATTTTGGATAACTAATAATTTTTAAATATTTTATTTATTTGATTAATTTTTCAAAGATAAAAAGATATATATTTAAATTATATGTAAATTATTAAAAAATTAATTTTGGATAACTAATCATATTTAAATACTTTTATTTATTTGATAAATACAATAAAATTATGAGAAAATTAATTTTATGCCAAAAAAAGATATATATTAGATTTATATGTAAATTATTAGAAATTAATTTTGAATAACTAAAATTTTTAAATATTTTATTTAGTTGATGAATACCATAATATTAGAAATTGTCTATTTGTGCAAGCATAATACCAGAAAATAAGATTATATATTTTCAAAAATTTTAAGCATGTATGTGGTCTAAACATTGTATTTATGAAACTTTGCTAAGTAGATTTTTCATAATAATTAAAATTTTGTTTGTTTTTAGATCATAATAAAATAGACATTATCATATAAGTAGATTTAAAATGATTGCAAAAAAAAAAAAGTAAAAATTAAAGTTGAATTTAAAGAAAAAATTATTTGATTAAGTGAAAAGTCAAAAACAAAAATAAAAAGTCTTCATATAGCAACTACAAAATATAAGAATAAATGTTATTATAACTTTACACATTGTAATATATAAAAAAATTCAAACTTAAAACAAATGACTTACTGTAAACACTTGCATAATTAAAAAAATTAAAGTTAAAAATAAATGACCTACCATAGTCACGTAAAACAAATATTTATATAACTTACATTTTATAATACACGAAGAAAATGAGATGCAAACAAAAGTGGAGAAGTAAACACCAAATAAAATTTATGTAAAAAATGAGTTATTTTTAAAAAGTTATGTAAATTATCAAGATATATATATATATATATATTATCAAGAGATTACATTTAATCTTTTTGAATAGTAAATATTATTATGAAATCTCTTAAGATAAAAAAAAAATTTTTAAATTTAAAAAAATATATATCTAAATTATTAAAAATTAAGTTTAAAAGATAAAAAGCTAAATTTTTAGAAATTATTTTTGGATAAGTAATAATTTTTAAATAGTTTATTTATTTGATAAATACCATAAAATTATTAAAAAATTAATTTTAGAAGATAAAAAGATATATCTATTAAATTATATATATGAAAATTATTAGAAATTAATTATGGATAACTAATAATTTTTAAATATTTTTATTTATTTGATTAATTCTAGAAGATAAAAAGATATATATTTAAATTATAGATATATGAATTATTAGAAAATTAATTTTGGTTATATATATATATATATTTATTCTTAATTTTAAAAAACATATTTCTAGATTTGTTTGACTTGTAATTATAATTTAAATAGTTTTGATGTTTAAATAAATTTAAAATTATTCAATTTGTAATTAAAAAAGTTATAATCTTTAAAAATCTATTATACGTGTCATCTAAAAATGTTGTATATATAGACGTCCAGATAACAAACCTTATTAAATAATTACATATATTGTAATATAACATATATATGATATATATGATAATATTTTTATTTAATTTTAAAATATATATTAAAATATTAGTATAAAAATATTAATTTATTTATTGTAAGAATAAACTAACATGTGAGTACAAGTTTGACTTTTGAAAAAAAGCTCAATAGATTAGCTTATTCGTTTGATATATATGTATATATATATAATACTTGTAAGTGCCCCAATTTATATATTATTTTAATTTAAACGAAGTTGATAAAAGTAGATTTATTAATTTTAAATATGATGTGATGATACGATAAATAAATGATACGAAAAAAATAAAAATGATATGATTTAAAATTTTAATAAAAATTATATATAAATTTAAAAAAATAAAAAAAATATAAATTTATATTTGATGCATCCATAAAAATTAAATATAATTATTTTTATATTTTACACGTATTTAATACGAAACAAAACAATACAAAATATAATTTACAGGACCTAAATAAAAGTGTTGAAATAAATGGGCTTGATCAAGGTCTGTAGATCATTACAAGTTCGGCCCATATGTCATATATAATATGCTATGCGTCATTCTTGAGAAGGGCCTTTCTGCCTACCATGCCGGCCCATAACAAAATGGTAGAATGCAGGCTCAAAACACATACAATATAAATATATAAATTATTGTAAACAA